AAAAAAAAAAAAAAAAAAACCAAACCAAACCTTCCTTTGTTATCCAGACCCATCCCAGATGACCCCTCAATTCTCCTGTTCGATAAATAATAGCCCCTAGGGCAAGGCTCACGTTGCAGACAGAGCTGCCCTACGCAGTGCTGAGCCGATGGAGCCAGAGCTCCGCTCACTGCATCACTCCGTTCTCCCTTCACTTGTAAGGTGTAGCTGCCAGAGGCCAAGGGTACATCTGGACCCATTTTCTGACCTTCCCCATGTAATTGGGGCAGTTTAATTTTATGTAAGCCACGAGAAGTCAACCGCGGCCCAGTCTTCTCTAGAAACGCCAAGTACATTGCCGTAGTACATACAGCAGTATGTTTGAAACCAAAGGTAAAGGGCTGTTCCAACTAGAAATAGAAATTTCTTTCTTACTTATACAATCCTCCATATTCACAGGACAATACATTCCTCATACAGGTTTTTATTAAGCTTCTCACATGTAACTAAGCATATATACTACATCTGACATGCTAACACGGTTGTCAGGAGCCAACATTTTTTTCCTCCAGACATCCTGTGGCCATCAAAGTTTCATGGATTTCACACAAGTGTTTCAAAACCTGTTTCCTGTTTTAAGCGCAGTGATAGAACACATGCCAGAAGTACTAACCATACCAATACCATGTGCCAGAAACATACAAAACACAAGAAATATGAAGAGGACATCAGATAAAGCAACAGGTAGGAGAACAGATCTTGTAAGAGCTGTGCTGCGGTACGACACCATGCGCCTCCCAAAACAGATTTCCAGGGTCTCCCGGAGGACCAGGAGTGCCAGCGGAGGACCAGGAGTGCCAGCGGAGGACCAGGAGTGCCAGCGGAGGACCAGGAGTGCCAGCGGAGGACCAGGAGTGCCAGCGGAGCAGGACTTCAACACATCAAAAAAATAAGATGGTATCACAGATGTTTTTGATGGTCAGCCTACATGGTACACAACATGGGCATTCGAGAGCAATTCTCTTGATGCCTAGAAAAGAGCCGCTTCCCTGCTCAGGCTTATTCTTACAGTCGATGTTTTGTTAGTGTAAATGTGACACCACCGCATGCGAATTAAGATGAATCTATTCACGACTGATCAAAAGTTCCGCAGAGCGTATCTTACCACGTTAACAGCACGTACAAAAACCAAGGCTGAAAATGTTCTTGTAACTGAACCACACCAGCACTGCTAGGCATCCTGCTTCCGTTGGTGATGGTCAGGAGCTTCCTAGGTGGACAACCACAGACAGGTCCGTCAGCCTGAGACGTTATGTTTCCCCATCTGCATCTGTTGCGTGAGGAAGATGCTGGTAATCCAATATGTTCCTACCCCTGTGCAATCCTACTATGGATGACTTGTTTAAAGCCTCTGGAAGCAGAAGTCCTGTCTTTAGCCAGGAGTGATCCTCCTAGTCCCATGTCCCAAGCAGGCGACACTTAACTGAAATAATCACAAGGGAGTGAAGTAACAAGCTTGTTTGGCAGCAGGAGATTCGTAATGATTAAGTTAAGCAGTAGTTACAGATTCAAAAGAAATTATGTATCCACAGTATATGTACAGTATAATAAACTGCTCAAAAGAGATTTTTTCATTGCTATATTTTAAAGGTTACCTTCAAATTACAGATAAGTCCTTTAAATGCTTGAAAGGCATAAAAATTTCCCTTCCCACATAAAACCCCAAACAATGTATTTTAGTTTCAAAAATACTTTGAACCCACGAACAAGCTTGGTATCAGTTAATCTAGTGAAATCGCTACGTGCTAAATAAAAGCACATCTGGTGGAAAGAGCGCAAAGAATGTTACGAGTGTGCTTAGTTTTTGCTTGCAGCATCTGGCAGTGGGTAGCAGGACAGAGGCAGGAATCTCAGTGGGTCTCCTCCTGTGTCTGTTCTGTAATGGTTTCTGTGGCACTGGCATTGGCAGCAGAGTTGAGAACTTCTCCAAAGTCTCCCCCAGCAGGTTTGCTTCCTCCAACTTTAGACTGGAACACAGAAAGAGCGTCAACATCAAATTGTGGTTACCTGGCATGCCAAACACCCTTAGCTGTAGAAAATCAGTGCCTCTGCGTAAGTAAATAAATTCTCAGCAGAGCAGCTTTTCCAGGACTGAGCTACTTCCACAATACTCTGAAGACAAGTCTGAGTATCATGCGGAAAACAATCACCGGGAGCAGATGACCACAGCAGTCTCCCTTTGAACTACACGGGCATGAAGCAGCCCTGGTTCCCAGGAGTTCGAAGGCTGACACACCCTCAGTTAAAAACGGGTACAGGTATGCAGCCTTTCTAGCCATTTAGGCTTCGAAAGACTCGAGAGCTGAAACTCGCTTCTGCATTCTTCAATGAAGAACCTTGAACAGTTTCCAGTCTCAACAGTAATTTCCGAGATCTTGAGCAGAGCATGGCGACTATTTTATTTTCCCCAGGTAACACGTGTGCCTTTTCACTGCCCTCTACAGCACACACCCTGTGGGATGGCAGGAGTGTTACTGCCAATGCGCTTGCAAGGGAATGCCTCGTTCCCACGCTATCCCAGTCACAGCCTGGTTTGGGTCAGAAGGGACCTTAAAGACCATCCAGTTCCAACCCCCCTGCCGTGGGCAGGGACACCTTGCACCAGACCAGGTTGCTCCAAGCCACATCCCGCCTGGACAT